ACAGATCTAACCAGAGGTAATGCCAGCTCAGAGGCCCTTCTGTGAGCCTTGGGACTCTGGGCTTTGGAAATCAAAACAAAAAAATAAAGTCACACAAAGAGCAGTTTACGTGTTTACAACTCATCAGAAAACAAAGACATTTTCATCTCCACAAAGATAAAAAAGTAGGAAAAACAAAGTGACAAACATGCTTGGGCATTGGAAAATCCCAGAGCAGCCCCTTCCCATGAGGAGTGGTGTTGCTAGTGCTATCATGCCTCTAACATTTACAGATGTGCTGAAAAGTCAGAGACAAAAGAAATCCCATTCCCTTCAGCTGAGCATGGAACTCACTTCAGGAGAGACGGGAACTGCAAAGGGAACTCCCAGCCTGAGAGTTCCCTGCATCCCATCATCCCACTTCATAAAGGGATTTTTTACAAGTGCTTTATCTGGTCCCCTTATGCGGGAGCACCTCAAGAAGACAACAGCTAAGTGCCCAACCACAGGGCTGACGTACCATTAGGAGTCTGAAATAACGCCAAGAGGATGTGAAACTGTATTTTACAGGACGTGTTATGGAGCAGACCCAGTTAAACACAGCTCTCGGACTCTGCAGGGAGCAGCGGGAGCTGCTCCGTAGTGGTGAGAGAGGTGCCCTTGGGCAGAGGACTCCAGTCAGTCGCTGCAGAGCCCTTCCCGGGAACCAGCACAGCTCCGTCCCTCTGCCTTATCTAAGAGGGAGGAGTCGGATCTCAGGTACAGCACTGAGTTCTGCCAGCTTCTGGCTCCTGTCTGCTCCTGGAGGGAGAGATTTCCCCAGTCCCAAAACACAGCGCTGCGGTTTGGGGGATCAACACACAGAAATTCCCACGCACGGGGCTGAGGCGGCTCAGCCCGCTGGCCTGTGGACACCGCGGAGCAGCTGGCAGCACTGGAGAAACCTGGAGGAAAACCAGCACCAGCAGCAGCCCCATCGCTCCAGGGCTGGGAAGGAAGGGTTGTGGCTTTCCTCCTGCCGTGGATGCTGGTCCCCACCGGCCTCAGCTGTAACTGGAGCCAGGGCAGCCCGGAGCACCAGGATCAAGCCCAGCCCGGCGCAGGGCGAGCAGCCAGACAGATCCTGGCTCAGCCGGAGCCGCGCTCAGACAAGGTGTGACTGCGCAAGTGATTCAGCTGAATGGAGAGGCACAGGCAGCCTGCAGTGAGGGACAGCCAGGGAAAGGCTCCTCCGCCCACCGCCGGCTGCCGCGCTCCGAATCCACACAGCAACTTTCACGGGGAAACCAGGAATTTCCACGCAAACACTAAAGAATCTGCCAAACACTGAGACAACACAGTGAAAGAGCGAGGCTGAGATCCTCACCCAGAGCTCCCTACACATGCAGGGCAGGCAGGGCTCCTGAGCAGCCAAGCTACTTATCTCAGCCTGATCAGTGAAACAGAGACCTTGGGAAGTGTTTCCAGCTGGGAAGGCAACATTTCATCCCTATCCCAAATTCAAAAATCCCCAAACAAGTTCAAAACAATCTCCTCTGTTCCAAACAAAAAAAAAAATACTGAGGTGTTCTGCACTGAAAGAATCGGTTCATTGGGTATTTGGATTTTCCCAAACTTTTCCTCATCTCCCTCAATGATTTAACTAAAATTCAGAGGTGATCCTGTTCCCAGCAGCATTCCCCCCGCAGAGCCCACCCTCCAGGTCTACACACAGCCTCAATGTCTCGGTGCAAGCGACTCCTCCACAGGCCTCTGCCTGCCAGAGCATGGAAAGGGGCTTCTCAAGGAATTTCCAGTCACGTTCCTGACTAACCACAGCCTAGGTCTGGAAAACAGCCTTGGCTCACTCTGCCTTAGCGCAACCAAGGCAGAGCGGGATGTGGTTCATGCTCCTGCTACGGGCAGGATCCACAGGGAGCCAGAGCAATTATCCCTCAAATCAGTGTTTCTGGTGCAGCAATAAGCGTTTCTGGAGCAGCAACACTTAATAGTTCTTCCTGTAAGGCAGGAAGGCTCAGCCCTATTTTTCAGATGGAAAAAACCCCAAACATCAAACCAAGAGCGGTGTCACTTAGTACCTCGGAATTCAGACTGAGACAGAGATAATTCAGGCAGGGAACTAGGGAGAGACACGCTGGGCCAGGGAATGTGGAAACAAGTTCCCTGGCTTAGGAACTATGCTGAGGAGGACAGCATCTGGGCCCAGGGCTTTTTGGAATAGCCAGGGGCTTAGCCAGTGAGCAGGTCCTTTTACTCGCTCATCTTGGCTTTTCAACCTTTTGTATTACCCAACCCTATTTCAGCCCTTCTGCTGCCCCACAACACAAACATGCCCATGGAGACCGAGGAAGGGAAGTTTTTCAGTTGTTTAGCTGATCCAAGTTCATCCTCTAGCCAGGCAACAGGGGTGTCCTGCCCCCTGCTGCAGCATCAGCCCAGACAAACATAGGCTTTTCCCTTTTTGCTTGTTTTTTGATTTCAGGATTAGTCTAAGGCCAGCCAAACTCCCCAGCCCAGCTCCCAGGGAGAGCTGAGGGGAGAGGGCAGATCCCTCTATTTCAGAGGTGGCAGATCCCTCTTTTTCAGCAGGATCAAAGGTTTTGGCTGAAGGTCTTTAGGCTGCTGAGGTGATGGAAGGGGTGGTCGGATCCTTCCTAAATACCAGCGTGGCTCTGGCTGCACTGCAGCCTGGGGCTGGGGCTAGGTCAGACTGGCAGGACCCTCCAGCTCATTTTTCATTAATCCTCCTGCTGGGGTCACCTCCCTAGTGGGACTGATGTGGGGGCTACACGTGCCCCCGTGGGCAGGGACACAGGCTGTGCCCCAGGGCTGCAGCACTGTCCCCTTGCACCCCGGCTATCCTGGAGCCAGGAGCACTCGGGATAAGGGACTGCCAAGTCCCAGACAGAAGGTGACCCACAGGGAAGCAGGGCCAGTGTCACCCCTCGGCAGGGCTCCGGCAGGGCCCATTCCCCCCAGAACCTCCAGGGTCAGCCTGCTGAGGGTGAGGAAGCAGATCTGGACAGGGAGAGCCGCACTCCGCTTCCCTCCCTCTCCCGGAGGCCCCGGGCACACGGGCCCGTCCCCGTCCCGTGGGTCCCCGCGGAACTCACTCGAAGGCGAAGAAGAGGGCGCAGGTGCCAAGGATGAGGAAGAGCGTCAGGTAGAAGATGCCCTTCTGCCGGGCCATCATGATACGGCCGTCGCAGCAGAAGGTGTTCCTGCCCGGCAGCTTCTCCCATTTCCGAACCACCTTCTTCCTCGCCACCATCACCGACATGGCGGGGCCGTCACTGGGGCGGCGGCGGCCGCCGCACGTTCGGGCGCTGCTGCTGCTGCTGCTCCGCCGCCCGAGCGCCCAGCATCATCGGGGCCCCGCGGGGCCGAGCTGGGCTGGGCTGGGCCGGCGGCTGCGGGAGAGGGAACGGGGAGAGCGCTCGGTCAGCACCAGGGCGGCGGCGGCACCGGCACGGGGGGCGGCGGCCGCTGTCGCCATGGAAACCCCGCGCCCGGGAGGGGCGTTGCCGTGGGAATCCACCCGGGAGGGGCGCGGGGCGCGGCCAGGAAGACCCTCGGGTGGGCGGCTCCGCACCGGGAGGGGACGCGGCAGGGCCCGGCCACACAAGGCACGGCAGCCCCGGCTGTGCGGGCGTGCCGGGAGCCGCGGAGAGCGCGGATGGGAAGGGTTAGAGAGGAGACGGGAGGGAAGGGGAAGGGAGGGAAGGGGCCGGGAAGGGCCCCGCGCCGCCGCTCACCCGGTGCCGGTGCCGCTCGGGCCGCGCCGGTCGCTCGCACCGCGCCGGGAGGGGCCGCCACGCCCCGCGCCCGAACGGGGCGGAGCCGCCGCGGCCATTGGTCCCGCCGCGCCCTTCGCCCCGCCCCGCCGCTTCCCGCCTTTCCATTGGGCGAGCGCGCTGTCAATCCGTGGAAGCTCCTCCCACTGCACCCCTTCTCGCCACTCCATTGGTCACTGGCGCTGTCACTTCGTGGTGACTCCTCCCACCCCGCCTCTTCTCGCTGGTTCATTGGCTGAGGGCGCTGCCACTCCGCGTGGTTGACCCGCCCCGGTGCGGACAAGGGAGGGCGGGGTGAGGGCGGGGCGCGGCACGTGGTGGGGCGGGGCCGTGAGGGCTCATCCCCCGCTGCTCCCTCCAGACCTCCCGGTGCAGCCCCCCGTTCCTCTTTTAACCTTTTCTCTCCCCGGGTGTCTACAAGGACCGGGCTTCCGAGTCCCAGCGCCGCGGGGAGCGCACGGGATGCTCCCGTCGTGGGTTCCCCGCCCCTCCCGCCCCTCCCGCCCCATCCGCACATTCCCACATTTCGCACAGTAGTTTTCATACGGTTTTGCACGCCCACACCGTGGGGTTGGGTCCGGAGAGCCCCCCAGGATTCCATTGCCGGCATCCTGCCAGGGGCATCCCATCGATCCCTGTCATCCCAGCCCCTTTGGAATCCCGCACACAGCGCTCCCGCCGGGCACGTGGCTGCCAGCAAAGGCAGGGCCCGGAGCGCCAAACCGAGGGGAAAACACAGAACTTTTCCCGCGGCTGTTGCTATGGAGACGGGAGCGGACGGGGAGCAGCTCGTTATCCCCGTCCCTCCTGCCCCGAGCCCCCGTGCGCCCGGCTCGGGACGGAGCAGAACGACAAGGGGCGCGGGCAGGACGGGCGCTGCGGGCGCAGTGGCGGACACTGACACCGCTTCGTGGCTGACAACTCCGTGTGTTTGCTCCAACCATCCTCCAGATCCTATTGACCCCCAAAACGCTCCCAGGAGCCGGGTCCGGCCGCCGGGAGGAACCGGAGGCGCGGCAGCTCCGTCCAGAGCCCGCGGCACTGGCGCGACCCGAGGGAAAACAGCGAATCCTGGAATCCCTGCGGCCGGGGGCAGCCACGAGAGTCAGGGACGGAGCGAAGACCCGCAGAACTGCGGTGTCCCGGCGGCTCCCGAGGCGGGCGGGGCGCTGTCCGCCCCTCCCGGACCCCTTCGGTCCCTCCGCCTCTCCCGCCCCGCCCGCCGGGCCCGCTGCCATGGCAACCCGCACGTCACGGCGGCGCGCTTTGCGGCAGGGCGCCGGGGCTCGGCGCGACACTCGGCGGCGCTTTGCGGCAGTACCGGCGTGCGGGGCCATGGCGGAGCAGGAGCCGGCGGCGGCGGCGGCGGGGAGCGACAGCGACAGCGAGGAGGGGGTGAGCGGGGCCGGGAACAGCGCCACGGGCTCTCCGGGTAGCCTCCACCGCTGTTTGCGGCGCTCCGGGCGCTCTCCCGGCCGCGGTGGGCGCAGCGGAGGACGGCGTGGCCCGGCCGGGGATGTCGGGCCCGGGAGCCGGCCGGGCGGTGCCGTTGGGGGCACCGGGGAGAACGGGGGAGCGGGCGCTGGGGCCAGGTTGGGTCTGTGACCGCGTGTGCCCTGTGGCAGGAGGATGGCGAGCGGCGGCACCGGCAGCTCCTGGAGGCCATCAGCGCCTTGTCCGGACGCAAACGGTGAGTGGCGGCTGCGGGCGTCCCGGGGCTCCTGCGGCAGCCGCGTGGGTGGCGGGAGGCTGCCCAGCAAGGGCTGCAGGGGACAGTCCTCGGCCCCTGCCCTCGGCACCGGCCCCAGGCCCCCCAGAGCAGCCGGCGGACACGAGGAACCTTCGGGGGTGTTTTCTGTGTCTCTCTCGCAGGCGGAAGCTGGCGGAACGCTCGGAGGCCAGCGGGCAGGTGTCCGAGTTCAATGTCAGCTGCAAAGGTGAGCGGGGAGCAGGGCAGGGCTCGCGGAGCTGGGATGGCGCTGCCCGCCGAGAGCCCCCGTGAGGGCTGGGCCAGCTCCCTCACCCGGCAGTGCCACACCTGTGCGTAGGTGCTGGGGAAAAGCTGCTTCTGTCGGAGCTGCTGCAGCCCATTCATCCCAAATCCACGCTGGGCAGTGTGAGGAAGGAGCTGGCCAGAGTGAAGCAGAAGGCGGCGGTGGAGCTGCCACTGAGCAAAGAGGAGGCCAAGAGGGTGAGTGCAGGGAGCCAGGGGAGTCTGAGCTGAGCCCCCAGGACCCCCGTGTGCCTCCCTGATGCCACCATCACCTTTCTCTGCCTGTCCCATTCCCCTGCAGGTGGTGAGGGAAGCGGCCTACGTGACCAGCTCGAAGGAGGTGGGGAAGTGGCAGCAGGTGGTGCTGCAGAACCGGCGTGCAGAGCAGCTGGTGTTCCCCCTGCGGCAGGACATCGCCACCGTCACCCCTCTGGAGAGGGTCACCTCAGCGTGGAAGGTGACACCGGGGCTCACACGGCTGGGGTGGCTCTGGGGGCACTGCTGGGTGGCTCCAGGATCAGCTGGGGCAGGTTGATGTCTCCTGGCTGTGCCAGGGGCAGTGGTGGCAGGCCCAGACTGGGGGTGACACTGGGCAGGTGCCCGCTGAGCTTGGGAAGGTTAGAAGGGCAGTTTTACAGAGCAGGTGTGTAAATTCCATCTGGGACAAGCCAGGTAGGGTGTGAGCAGAGGGTTTGGAGCCTGCTGTGTCCCTTCTTGTAGCCTCTCAGGGCCAGGCACATGGGAGTGTCCCTTGGCCACAAGTGCTGAGACAGAGGGGATTGGTTTGCCAAGTCCTGTGTGCCTGGAAACATTCCTTACAAAAGAGGGAGGTGTTTGGTTTTGAATGCAAGTTGTTGTGGGGTTGTGCTGCTTGCAGGAGAGCACTGCTGTCCCTGGCAGTTGTCAGATGCCCAGGTGAGGAAGGGACAGCCCCTACTGAACTCCCAGCAAACCTGTCGCTCACACTGATCTGCCCAAAAGTCCCTTTCTGTTTTGGAGGGACGTGGCATTGCATGGCCTGGAACTCCTGTGTGGTTCCCCCTGGTCAGCACTGCCTGGCAACTGGGAGGCCATTTTTCTAATGCGGGAGGAATTCTACCTGCCCTCACCGGGCCATGTGGCTGGGAGAGTGCCCAAGGGCTGTGGTGTGGGAGCCATGAGTGGGGCTATGGCCACCCAGTCCCCCAAGGCAGGGGATGCTTCTCTGGGCCTTCCACAGACCAACGTGGGGGCAGTGAGAATGGATGGGGACATCCAGGGGAGCACTGCTGCTTGCACTTCTCCTCATCCTCTTGCCATGTCTACTGTCCCAACAGGCCCGAACTCCACTGGAGCAGGAGATCTTTGGATTGCTCCACAAGACACAGCAGCCCATCACAGACCCACTGCTGACACCAGAGGAGATGGCCTCAGTGCAGGCCATGAGCTTGGAGGAGGTGAAGCTTTATCCTGCTGGGCCTTGGCTCTGGGGGCCTCTTCCTTGACCCCATCCCTCACGCCGTGCTCCGTGCTCCCCGTGCCTCACGCCGTGCTCCCCGTGCCTCACACCATGCTCCCCTCCCTCACCCTGTGCTCCCCTCCCTCACCCCGTGCTCACCCCGTGCTCCCCTCCCTCACCCCGTGCTCCCCTCCCTCACCCCGTGCTCCCCTCCCTCACCCCATGCTCCCCTCCCTCATCCCATGCCTCACCCTGCACTGCCCTCCCTCACCCCCCGTTCCCCTCCCTCACCCCCTATTCCCCTCCCTCACCCCGCGCTCCCCGGCAGGCTCGGCGCCGGCGGGCGGAGCTGCAGAAGGCCCGGGCATTGCAGTCCTACTATGAGGCCAAGGCTCGGCGAGCGAAGCGGATCAAGAGCAAGAAGTGAGGCTGTGCCTGTGCTGGGCTGGGCACATTGACAGGGCAGGGCAGGCCAGCCCTGCCTCACCCGTGGCTGCCCAGCCCCTGAGCCACCCCTGTGCCACAGGTACCACCGCGTGCTCAAGAAGAGCCGGAGGCGCCAGGCCCTGAAGGAGTTCGAGCAGCTGCACAAGTCGGACCCTGCGGCCGCCTTGGAACGGCTGGAGGAGCTGGAGCAGCTCAGGATGCAGGTGCTGCCCCAGCACCTCTGCCTCACCCCTCGGGAGGGCCCTGCTCCTTGGGGAGCTCTGTGTGATGCTTCTCTTTCCCCAGGAGCGGATGAGCCTTAAGCACCAGAACAAGGGAAAATGGGCCCGATCCAGGGCCATTATGGCTAAGTATGACCTCGAGGTGAGATGGAGCCACAGAAGGGTTTTGTGAGAAGGGACCTTAAAGCTCACCCAGTTCCACCCCCCTGCCATGGGCAGGGACACTTTCCACCAGACCAAGTTGCTCCAAGCCCTGACCAACCTGTCCTTGAACATTTCTGGGGATGGGGCAGCCACAGCTTCTCTGGGCAATCTCTGCCTTGGCTTCCCCACCCTCACAGGAAAGAATTTCTTCCCAATATCCCATCTAGCCCTTCCTTCTGTCAATGTGCAGCCATTCCCCCTTGTCCTGTCCCTCCAAGCCACAGTATAAAGTTTCTCTATCTCTTATAATCCCATTTATATATTGGAATGCCATGGCAGGATCCTCAGCATTGCTTGGGGAAGGAGGGGAGACTGAGGTTGGGAATGGGAAGGGCAGGGAAGGTTGGGAATGTTGTCTCTGCCCTGTGTTAGAGCCTCTTGGTGCCTCCCAGGCCCGCAAGGCCTTGCAGGAGCAGCTGGCCAGGAACAAGGAGCTGATGCAGAAGGTGCGGGTGGAGCCGCCCGAGGAGGAGCCGTGTGAGGTGCCTGAGGAGGACACCACGGCCTTGCCCATGCCTAGTGGGGCTAATCCCTGGATGCTGGGCAAGCCCAGTGGCCTGGCCCCGGAGCCTGAGGCACAGGAGGGTCCAAGAGATGACACAGTGCCTGTTGCTGTGGAGAGCAAGGGCAAGATGGAGGAGGAGGAGGAAGAGCTGTCAGAGGAAGAAGCTCTGCTGCAAGACTTTGAGCAGAAGCGTCAGCAGAGGACAGGGAACCCCGAGGGGCACAGCAAGGACCATGGTGAGTAGCTCAAGGCTGAGAGCTGGGTAGGCTGGGGTTGATGGGGGCTGGACAAAAGGAAGAGGGATCTGGTGACAATTTTTGGCTGGTTTCACACAGCTGTCCTTGCTCTCTGCCCTGTGGAGTGACTATTTCTACCCTCAACATGTAGGTGCTGATGAGACTGAGACTGGTGCTGAGCAGCCCAGGGACAGCCCAGTCCCCCCAGATTGTGCCAAGGAGCTGGGGGACAGCCCAGTCCCCCCAGACTGTGCTGAGGAGCTGGGGGACAGCCCAGTACCCCCAGACTGTGCCGAGGAGCTGGTGAGTGCAGGGCTGGAGCCTCCCCCTCAGGCCCAGGAGGAGCTCCTGCTCTCGGAGCAGCTACGCCGCGTGCAGACCATGGAGGATATGGAGAGTCTGGCCAAGGAGGAGCTTGTGGAAGAGCAGGAGAAGCTGGTAGCCCTGAGACCAGGGAAGCGAGCACGGCAGCAGGAGAAAGCCAGAACTGGGGACAGACATACCAAAAAAGCAGCAACCAAGAGGAAGATGATCAGCCTGGAGGCTGTACTGGATGGGAAGCCCCAGGAGATGGACTGCTCCAGCCTGCCTGTGGTCCTGGAGGAGGAGGTGAGCAGGATGGGCCTTCCCCGTGCTCCCCAGTACCCAAAACACCCATCCAGTAATGCCCAAACCCTTAAGTCTCAGTAACCCCAAACCCTCTCCTGGTAATCCTAAACTCCCTTCCAGTAACTCCAAACCTCCTTTCAGTATCTCCCAGTAACCCCAAACCAGTAACTCCAAACCTCCTCCCAGTAATTAGAAGCCCCAAACTAGTAGCTCCCAGTACTCCTAAACCCCCTTACAGTAACCCCAAACCCCACCAGTAATGCCCAGTAACTTTTACTCCCTTCCCACTCTTCCCAGTACCCACAAACCCTCTCCCAGTGCCTCCCAATTTGTTCCAGTCTCTCCCAGTTCCCCCAATAACCCTTAAACCCACTGTGGCTTGTCCTGGTGCAGGAGGGTGGCATCGAGCAGCGCGGGATGATCACGGAGGCCTTTGCTGGGGACGATGTGGTCGCTGACTTCCGCCGGGAGAAGCGCAAGGCAGAGGAGGCGATGAAGCCACAGCCGGTGAACCTGGTGCTGCCAGGCTGGGGCGAGTGGGGTGGCACAGGCCTGAAACCCAGCACCAGGAAGGTCAAGAGGTGAGTGGGGGAGAGCTCGGGGCTCTGCCCAGCCCCGTGCCAGCCCTGACCCCTCACTTGCCCACAGGTTCCTGATCAAGGCGCCGCCGGCGCCTCCGCGGAAGGACCAGCACCTGCCCCACGTCATCATGAGCGAGAAGCGTAATATCCACGCAGCTGCTCATCAGGTGGGCCACACCTGGTCTCCATGAGAGCTCCAGTACCCGGGCAAGCCCGGGGCATTCCTGTGATCCCTTCCCAAAACGTCCACAATCCCTGCCTGTAACCCCTGCCCAGTGCTTAGCTTCCAGCTTAAACAGCTCAGAAATGAAGGGAGGGATGTGCAGGGCTGCTCCCTTGGTGGTGGTGGTTGTCCCAGCCTTCCTGGGCTCTGCTGGCAGTGGAAAGGGAAGCAGAGTGTGAGTGGGTCCTGGACAAGTGGGAAGCAGTGAGCATTGGGGGCAGCATGGGCTGGAAAAGCTGGGCTGGGTGGCTCAGGGCCATTACCCCTGTGGTGTCCCCGCAGGTCAGCAAGCTGCCCTTCCCCTTTGAGCGGCACCAGCAGTTCGAGCAGAGCATGCGGACGCCCCTGGGCCCCACGTGGAACACTCAACGTGCCTTCCAGAAGCTGACAGCCCCTCGAGTCATCACCCGCGCCGGCCACATCATCCAGCCTATCTCAGCTGAGGATGTCCCTGACACGGCCCCTGGCAGCAGGGCCAGGCTTGGGGGAGAGGCCATGCCCGAGAGGAAGGCTGTGCCCAGGGGGAAGGCTGTGCCCAGGGGGAAGGCTGTGCCCAGAGGGAAGGCTGTGCCCAAGGGGAGGGCTGTGCCTGGGCAGAAGGCACAGCCCCGGCACCGCAGAGCACAGTAGCTCTGTGTCTGCAGCCTGGAGGCTCAAACTGGAATGAGCAGAGGAACCAGGAGCAGATCCTGGTTCTCTCCAGTTCCTTCTACCTCTTTCTCTGCAATAAAACCCAGGGCTGCCCTCCCTGTGCTCTCTGCATGGCTGCCTTGGCAGTGTCCAGGGCCAGGTTGGGCCCTCCATCCTGTCCTTGGGGTCCATGCATGGTTGGGTGCTTTGGCTGAATTGAGGGTGAAAGCTTGGTCAGGAGTTCATAGTGGGGGCACATTTAGGAGCATGGTGAGGGACTGGAATAGTTGTCAACATCCTGTCCTTTGTCTTTTATATCCCCATTTTTGTACCTATATAGATTCTTAAATCTTGGCCAAAGGGGCTTTCTCCCCACCTTGTCATGCTGAGCCTGGCCTCAGGGTGTTTCTGGGGTCCACCTGCACTCCCAGAGTACCTGCTCAGCCCTAATAAACCTGATCACCTGGAAATGGCTCTGTCAGGTTTCTGCAGCTCTGCACGTGCTGGGAGCTGCCTCTGTCCACTGGCAGCCCCCACTCCTGCTGCCCACCTCCAAGCCCATGCTCTGTGCCCAGCCACCCCTTGGAGTGTGACAGTGAGGTGCCTCCCAGGGGTTGGTTGGTGCATCCAGCACAAGTGGCAGGATGTGCCAGTGCCTTACGGACTGGGCAGGGATCCCTCCAGGCCTTTCCCCCCACTTACAACGTGGGCTGTGCTCAGCACCAGTTGGAGGAGCACTTCCCGGCCCCAGCACAGGAGCTGGAGCTGCTGCTGATCCCAGGAAACGTGTCCCTCGTGTCAAGGACACCTCCTCCCACCTTGGCACTGCAGCCCGCCCCGGGCACGGCCTGTCCCCAGGGCCACCCTTCTGCCTTGCAGCGGGGTCAGACCAGGGAATGGGGGTTGTTCTGTGGGGTCGGGGCACAGACACCCTCCGTGCTGACTGACTGCCACTATCCCTCACTGCCCAGGGCCCTCCCTAGACTGGGACGGGACTGGGGGCTGACAGGGGCCAGGTGTCACAGCTTTGCTGGGGACCCATCTGAGTGTCTGTAGCCCCTGGAGCACCCAGGGCCGCAGAGTCAGAGGGCACTGGCCCGTGATGGGGCCATGGTTGTGTTGCTTGGAAAAAAAAAAGGAAAAGGGGAAGGGAAAAAGGAAAAAGGCAAGGGAAAAGGAAAGAAAAGAAAAGGAAAAAAGAAAAGAGAAGAAAAAAGAGAAGAGGAAAAAAAAAGGGAAAGAAAAGGAAAAAAGAAAAGAGAAGAAGAAAAAAGAGAAAAGAAAAGAAGAGAAGAGAAGAGAAAAGAGAAAAATAAAGCAGTGAGCATTTCTGTGCTGTGACGCCAAGAGCCCCTCACGAGGCTGGTGGCCCCAGCAGAGCCTGTGCCCTCTGCCGTGGGAAACCTTCACCCCAGAGATGTCCTGAAGCCAGAGGGATCGTGTTTGTTTCAGTAAAAGGTGAAGCGCCCTGAGGAGGGGGAGGCAGCGTCCCCTGCCAGCCCCTCCACCTGCCTGCAGTCCCCCAGAGCCGCCCCCCACCCCCAGCTACTGAGGCCAGGAGATCCCTGGACACTGCTGTCCCTGTCCCTCTTGCCGGGACCCTCCCTCCCCTGCCCTGGCCAATGGCTCTGCCTTCCTCCTCCCCAGCCCAGGCAGTGTTTGGCTGGACACGATGGGCTGTCCCAGCACCCAGCCCACCTCCTCAGCTCCAGCCCCGGGACTCTCAGGGCACCCGGCAGGGAATGGTCTGGAGAGCCTGTTACAGCAGAGCTGGTTCGGGCTCAGCAGGATTTGCGGGATGCTGTCCTGCTGTTTGCCTCTCAGCAGGGAGGGGGAACCCCCCATTTGCCTTCAGCCCCCCAGTTTGGCAATTTGGCCCGCCCCACGGCAAAGGATGCTGCTGCCGTGCGTGGTGTCACCCGTGTCCCTGAAGAGGGGAGCGCTGCCCCGCGAGGTCTGGCCCTGCCCCAGCCTGAACTGGAACCTCCCCAGCTCCGATGCTCCCTCCAGGGCCAGGAAGATGGTGGCACCAGGGCAGTGCTCAGGTGCAGACCCTGCAGAGGACCGAGGCTGGCAGGTGTAACACCAGCTCAGACAGGGAGCAAGAAGGTCTGCAGCTGTCACAAGTTGGATCAGCGGCAGGACCTGCTGAGGTGCAGATCCCTGTATGGATCCCTGCCTCACACAGAGCTGGTGGGTCTGGCAGCCTGAGTGGGGGTGATGCTCAGCGTGGGAGAGAACAGCTGTAGCCACACATCTGGATCTGCCTCATCCTGTGAGGAACGGCCGCACTGGACTGGCTTGAACTGGGGCTTCCAGAGATGCTTCAAAAATACACGGGGACAACGTTAACATGAGCTGGTGGGTTGTGTAGGAGGAACGCTGGCAGGGGTGACCACTGGTGCTGACATCCCCACCCCTCCAGGCTCCTGCTACAACACAGGCTCCTCTGGAGCCCTCACATCAAGGCAGCGCTTGGCCCTCTGACTTCTCTGCAGAAATGGATTTACTGAGCACAGGAGCTCGGGGTTTTTCAACTAGTAACCCATTCCAGGTCTGCCGCAGGAAAGGGGGATGCCAGGGATGCCCACTTGCAGCCTCCCGGGTTGGCGGGGAAGGGGGTGAGAGCCCTTTGCAAGGGGACAGAATCGGGCCGGGGAGCCCGGCACGGCTGCGGGCTGGGGTGGCTCCCTGCGGGGACTTCCCCAGCCTGATCGTCGTTCTCCCCGTGACAGCAGGGCCGGCTGCCGCCTGCCAGACAGGATGCGAGCCGAGGAGAACCTGGACAAAGCCCTGTTGTCGCCGGCCACCGCGTGGGCCACGGGAGCCCCGGTGCCGCGGAGCGAGCGCGCAGCCCTCCCTCGGCCGCCCGAGCGCCGCGTCCCCCGAGAGCCGCGAGCGGCTGCGGCTGCTCTTACTGGCCTACTTTCCGGGCTACGTCAAAGCCGGGCTTACGGAGCAGGGAGCCGCGGCAAGGGCGGCCGAGCTGCTCCCGGTGCCAGCGGGGAGCGGGGGCTAATCCGGGCCCGGGGCCGCCCAGCCTGGCCAGCACACGGGCGGGCGGCGGGGCAGGGCCGGCGGCGCTGCCGTGGGGCTGGGGACGGGCACGGTCACCGCGAGGTCCCCCCGGGGCAGGGACCCGCCCGGGAGCAAGGGCCGCTCCAGCGCCGGGGAGCTGCCGCTGCAGCCGGGCTCCTGCACCCGGCGTCCCGGGAGGCCAGTGGGAGTGGGATGGAGTAAAAGGCGGATTTAAAATCAACAAACAAAAGGCTTTTGGTCGCTGTTTTTTTGGGGGGTTGGGGTATTTTTTGTTTCTTTTTTATCTTTTTTAAATGCAGGCTATAAATAACCTGTAAAATATTTCTTCTGGGCTGTTTCTGCAGCTGAAATCTTGTCCCTCCGGCTTCCCAAGCGCAGGATGTGAATACGAGCACTGCGGCCATCACGGAGCACCCCTGGGTCTCTGGGGTGGATCCCTGGGATCCTGTACCTTTGCCCATTGGGATCGGGGAATTTCCGTGCCCCTGAACACCTCCAGCCCCCATGGGCTGGAAACGGTCCTCCCCAGAATGGGCCCGAGCTCCACTCCCCGGGGTGCGAGAGGGGCTGAGCACCGCCTCCCGACCGGACGGAGGCGAGAGGCTCAGCCTGGCACAGTGCGGGACAAACAGGACAGGGGAGGCAAGTCTGAGGTTGGACCGTCAGGCTCAGAAATGCTCTCCCCAACATATCCCGTGCCGGGGACAGGGGTGGTCCCTGCTCCCCGAGTCTCTCAGCCTCCATCGCCCCGCACCGGGGCGCGCTCACACCCGCTCCTCCCGCCGCGGTACCCGGTGCCCGGCGCATCCCGGCCGCATCCGGGCGCCGCAGCGGTTTCCGTGGAGATGGCATCTCCCAAGCCCGCACCGCCCGAGCCGGGGGTTTCCATGGAGATGCCGTATCCAGCACGGCACAACCTGAGCCGGAGATTCTGCCGAGATGCTGTAGTCGGGACCCTCGCCCCGCTGCGGGGCCTTTCCCGGGGACGTGGGTGGCTGGGCCCTCTGTGCCTCGGGGGTGACTGTGGTGTTACCGCCGCTCCTCACACCAGTTCGGTGACAGCGCTGGAACACCAATACCTGCGGCTCTGAACATCCTGGGGGAGCTGTCACCAGCCTTGTCACCCTCCAGAGCGGGAACCCTCTCACTCAGGCTGTGTTGTCGCGTTCTGTCAGGGTCTCCAAGAGGTGGCGGGTCCCTGCCTGTACTCAGCTGCCTGGAGAGGAAAGGGGGAAATCCCCGTGTCCCCTGATGACTTTGTCCCAGCTGCCACCCTGCAGCTCCCACAGTGACACGTCAGAGTGGGATGTCAGTGGCACCAGGTGGGAAGCAGGCACCGTGCTGCACTCCTGCACCAGGGGATGAGGTACCCAGCCCCAAACCAGCAGCATCCCAGGGCTGAGGGACACCTGGTTGAGTTCCAGCACCGCCAGTGCACCAAGAACTTCCCGGAGGGGACATGAAGGGCCTCAAAGGGCAGGACTGAAGGGTGAGCAGAGGCAGATGTCCTCCTGACAGGCAGATGTGTGTGTGCACGTGTGCCCTGGCCAGTGTTATAATAGCAGCTTCGTTTGAGCACAGCTGCCGCAGAGGTGGCACCTTCCATTCTGCACGCGGCAGAGCTCTGGCAAACCCCAAGCTCCCGCTGCAGAGACGGGGGAGAAGCACGGGAACGCCCCTGGGGGCACACCCTGGGACACGCTGGGATGGTCTCCTGCCCACTCGGTGCCATGGGAGATGTGGGGCTGGTTCAGCCCCCATGTCCCTCCTTGCCTCAGCCCCCTCCACGCTCCTGCTCCACCTCTGCTCCCAGCTGGACCTTCCTTGGGCACCCTTGTCCTGCCCAAGCCAAGGCCATCTGGAGCCTCCATGGGGGCTTCTCAGCTGGCAGAGCAGCAGCGGCCAGCTCCTGGGGATAATGACTGAGGCCGGGCATTGCTAGCCATTCCAGCCTCCAGCTCTTGGAGGGCCTCAAGCCCCCACACAGCCTGGCCACTGCCAGGACTGCCAGCAGCACTTCCAGCATCCCCAGGCACAGGCTGTCAGATGCAGCACTGCGGTCAGAGCCCAGCTCTTTGTCTGCTGTTATAATTAGGAGCCCCCCGGTGGCTACTGTGGCCGGACCTGGGAAGCTCAGGGCTGGGGGACAGACACTAAAGGAGCTGAAATTTGGCATGGCAGCCTGGGAGCTGGAGCCAGGGGCCAGGGGCAAGCCCTGTTCTGCCCACAGCCAGCTACTCTTCAGAGCCTCATGCTGCATTGAAAAGGGCTGGAGTGTAGCCAGGGCTCTGTGCAGTCACCTCTCTCACCCCTGCCAGCCCTGCAAGGCTCCTCACCTGATTTATGGGGCTCCCCTGGCACCCCAGCCTCTGCTCACCCACTCTATTCTCCTCCCCTCCATCACTTTGCCCTTGCCCTGGCTGCCAGCTAT